CAGCACAGTTCACCACTTTCCTATGCTCTAGGCACTTTCTAGGTGCTTTGGGTCCACCCTGCTGCCCCTGAGGGGTAAAGGTGAGACACAAATAGTTTATATCTTAGACACTACTTAGAGTAAATAATGCTCGGGACACAGTTTAGCCTCATGATGTATGCTTTGAGCAAAAAAATACATACTTAAAATGAATGCTAGGTATAGGTGTGCATATCCTCTAGGAAAAGTGAGAACATTTTAAGCGTTAAAGGTAATGGCTATAATAGAATGATTACTGCATGTTAATATATTTTTCCTAAGCTACATATACATGCTTAATGTTCTATAACTGAAAGTGCATTTAGTCTACACTGTTAAATTCGTGGAATAAGCAAATGTTTATTAGCTGACTGCAGAGACACAGCTCTTGCCCTTTTTTGAAGCCCATTTTCCATTATTAATACCGTGACCATGGAAATGGTTCTCCTTACTTTGAGAGTTTAAAACTGTCCTCCACAGCCAGAGGGTGGCATTTTTATTTTTAACCAAACAAACAGACTCCACTGAGATGGCTGTGAAGTGACAATTGATGCTGGCAAAAGTCTGGGACACAGTGTTCAAATCCTGCCATCAGCATCAGCGGGGCAGATGGTGGCCACACATCCTTTAAGGAAAGTCAGGCTCCTCCTTTGATGAAACCTGCACTTCAACTACGGAGCTGAAGCAGTGGCTGCCAATTTCCCAATTTTGAGAATAAAAAAATGGTTCCAGGAAAATTTAAACTTGCTGTCACGCAGAGTGTCTCGTTTCTAGCTCAGATTCGGTCTCCCCAGCGTTTGATTGCACTTATGTGACTCACAGGACGTCAGGACGTGCAGGGAACCTTAAATATGTACAGTAGCATTGGCATAACTTATAATCAGGTGCTTTTTAGAAAACATGCCATCCGGTGAACTGAGAATCGTGAGACAAAGTAGGAAATAAGAATAAAGGAAGCAGAATCCATACCAAACGTGTCATTGATCTATTTCATCTTTCTTAACAACTTAACGTTTATTCCCATGCCACCTGCTTAAAAACACCTATTTCCCCTGCCTTCCCTCAGCGGAAGGATAAGAATAAAGTGTGTTCAAAGAGGTGTCAGCCAGCTAGCGACAACGGTGGCAGGAGCGGGAGTGGTGTTCTGACTACGTGGGCAGGTACTTTTTACTTTGGAAAAAAAATTGTTTGTGTTTCATTTTCCTTTCATCTTTTGTGACATATTTATGTTTACTTGCATAGTTTAGAACATCTCTGCTTCTAAACTTTCGAAACTTTATTATTTTAATTGTGATGCAGAATTCAATGTCATATTTCAGTACATGTGTCAAATGTGTACTGGTCCCATTTCTTAATAATGTTTCCATCTCCTTGTGATTTCTTCATGACCTTCGAACTGCTCTCTTTTAGTTTTCATGAAATAGATAGTAGCTAATTCTGAACCAGTCACCCCCTGGTGCGAGTGAACTAAAACTTCTCTTTGTGCTTTGGCATCTGTTACATAAATTTTGCAGTTCCCTCTTTTCATCTCTTTTCCCAGCCTTGAATAATGAGTACCATGCATTCAAACTGACTTTTAAAGAGAACATGCCAATATTTGTCTTTTTCAGTTCATGTGTTTCATCTAATGTCTTTCTTTCCCACTCATTTTCTATAAAATGATAAGATATCTCCTTTTGGGGTAGATTGCTATTCCATAATTTAGGTGTATGGTGTTATCTTTATTGGGCTGTTTCTTTTTTCAGCCCCCAGGAAGACTTCTGGCTTTTCTATTTTAAGTATTGTGACAGTGGACGTATATTCATATCACTTGCTAATTTTTAAACCAGATAAATTTTTGTTATGGAGTTTTTGATTTCCTTATACATTCTCAGTATCTACCCTTTGTTGGGTGGACTGATTATAAATTTCTTCCCATTCTGCAAGCCATCTCCTCACTCTTCTGGTTGCTTCCTTGGCTGTGCAGAAGTTTTCTAGTTGACATGATCTTATTTCCCTATTTTTTCTTTTGTGCTCTGTACTTTTGGAATCTTATCCGGAAAATCATTTCCCATATTGGTGTTTGAAAGTACTGGCTTCAGACTTTTCTTCTAGCTGTTTTATGACTTTAAATTTCACACATAGGTCTTTCATCCATATTGTAGTTTATTTTCATAAAAAGCTTAAAATAGGGGTCAAGTTTCCATCTCCTGCATTGGATATCTGGTTTTCTCAGCATCATTTACTGAAGAGACTGCTGTCATCAGCGTTTGCTGCACTTTTGTGAAGAATCACTTCACTGCAGACAGACAAATTTACTAGCAATCTGCATTCTTGTCTGTTGGTACATGAGCAGGTGTGTAGATTGATTTTTGTTGTTCCACTGTCATGGTGTCTTGATTATGCAATGGCCATTCTTTTTATGAAACAAGTTATATTAGTATCTTTCCTTTCATAGTCCAGCTTGAATATTGGGAGGCTCACAACAAAAATCAGGTGAGTTTACTCATGTCCAGCTTTGTGTAAAATCACAGAAGAAACGGATTCCCAACACTTTCTTTTGTTCTTGTTCCACAGTGGCAAAAGCCTCATGATTGATTATTTTACAGTGCCGTGAGACTCTAGCAAACTCTTTAGAGTTTGCTGCTTGTAGCTGTTATTGTTTAGGTTTAAATATTCACTCAGTTACACTACACTGTTCCTTTAAAGTCTCCTGAGATAAGAAGCTGCCACTCTGGTTCCCCGAGTAACCTCCTGAGACCCAGAGAGCAGAGCTGCCCCTGAGAATGACCTGAGACATCCTGGGAGTTCTTCCCCAGGGTGCCCAGAGTAGCCCAAGTCCACCTTGAGACACCCTCCAACATCCAAAAACATAGTCTCAAAATCCAGGGCTCCTCTTCATGGCTTTTGGCCTTTGCATTTATGCTAGTGTTCAATATTAAATTCTTATCATGTCATCCAAGATCACCATGAGATACCTTCTGTTGTTGGTGAATATTATTCTTTTCTTTCTTCTTTTTAGGGTGCTTTCTCATTACACTGTCTCTCACCCATGGTTCTTTGTTCAAGTTAGTGGGTGGCCAGGCTACGAACCCAGTCAGGACACCTCAAAATGGACCCCAGTGCTCCTTCGGCCCCCAGTTCAGGAAACTGTATGAGCTGTCCTCCATCATTATTAAAGGTTATAAATAGATATTTCCAGGAGATAATTAAATAAAAACATCATCAAGTAAACTAAGGCCAATTAGCATTAATATTTATTGTTTTTAATAGTGAGGGAATTCAGTTTTGAGGTTCAGTTTGGTATTTTAGCTCACTTATTATTTCTCTTATAAGGAATTTAGGATTTGTAAATTGTTAAAAGATGAATCCCGGTGCAAAGACTAACAGGAAAACGTTATTAGCAAAAATAACAGCATCTGCAGTTACCATCTTCATTATATACTTTTAAAAAGATAAATAATGTAGGCTTATAAAATCCATTTATTACTTTTTATACCTTTAATCTAATTCCAATATTTTCCTCATCAAATTATACCCAGATGGATCCAGAAGTTAGTTAATCTAAATATTTTAGTTTATAAGGAAGATATGTATGTGTACACTGTAGATTAGATGAGTGATTTTTCTAACTTCTGGATTAAGAATTTGGGAGCTGTCCTAATTCTGAGGCATTCTAATCTGGACAGAGAGTCTCACCAGCTCATGGAGACGTTCTCCCTGGGTTCTTTTTTTTTTTTTTTTTTTTTTTTTTGCATATTTCAGGTGCTTGACTCATTTGCTCCCAATTACCTTGCCTGAGCCATGAAGGCAATTGGCTTGACTAGAAGTTCTTTCTTCTTAGAACTTTCTAGGCATTGCTAATGATTTGATTATGCTCTTGAAGTCAACCAGCAAAATGGCTAATGACAAAATCTGAAAAGTAAGGGTTGCATATGATGCCAGCGGATCCCTGAGGTCTTTCATTAAAATTGAACTATTTCATTTGCAGCCTTTGACCTGATGGCTACACCTTCATCCTTGAAATTCTTTCTTTGCTAAGTTGAACTTTTTCAGCTTTTTAGAAGGAACGAAGGGAAAAGTATGAGAAATGAGAAAAATGAGAAAAGAAAAGGAGAGAATGAGAAAAGAAAGGAGAAAACAGTTGAACTAGCACCTTGCTCATCTTGCTTTGCCATAATCTCTCTACATTTTATGAAGAGATCTGCGCAGCTCAATTTCATTACCCAAATCAGGTATTCTAGGAGGAGAGAGATTAAAACTAGCTGCCTGCATGATTTGTTTGTTTGTGTAGCAACGAGCCTGCTCAGCTGCCCTTGCTGGGCTTCAGGCTTTCATGTGTATCTTCAGAACAAGGGAAGCAGTCAGTCTCCTGTTTGTTTCAGTGCAATTACTTTCAGGTAGAGTCAGATTGCATGAAGACCACAAGGCACGGTGGGGGGATAAAAAGCCGGCCTCACATTTTCAGACCTGAAACGGATCTAATTCAGCCTGAATTCTGAGAAAAGCCTCATCCCGGTCATTATCTGAAAACCCTTTATTCTGCTTCCACATGTGCTGTTCAAAGTTATTTTGAAATGAGAGCTTTCTGGATAATTTTACTTATTCATAAAGGGCTATGACTGCTTTGAAATAAAGAATTTGAGGAAAAGTGAATAAAAGAAGATTTCAATGTCCACAACCACTTAAAAAGACAAAATCTTTTCTAACAATGGATCAAGTTATTTTGGCCCAATTGTTTCCAACAAAAAATCAGTGGGATTCATCATTAAGGCTGCTCCTGCCAACTTTTGTAATAGCTACAGGTAAGAAATATTTGAGACTACTTAAGCAGTCTACCTACTCCATATTAGTAGAAAATAAGGTGCTTTTTATTTTATTAGTACAAATATAAAGGACTCATCAAATGCTTTCAAGAAAAATTAAGCATGGCAATTTTGACTGTCTTGTATTTATTTTTCATTTTTGCATTAGTAATTTTATTTTTATATTATACCTTTCAGATTTCTAAAACACACGTGAGGAACTCTGCCCTGTGAATAGGAAGAGTGGACAGCCCATCACATTAGAGGTTTAGGCATTTCCCATGTGCAAATCAAATGAATTTAAAGTCTGAAGTCCAATGTCCATCTTCTCCCCTCAACATGGAACCACAGCAAGGAAGGGGACCACAGTGCCCAGCGCGAAGGAACTTCGCAGCAGAGACAGGATCAGAGATGGAGAGAAATAAGATGGAGGTTGGTAGACAGATTTACTAATGTCTCCATTGACCATTGTATTTCTTAACTGATGTTGTGCAGATTTTCTATAGACTCAGCAAGACATTAGCTGTTGTTGCTTACATTCATATTAAGAAGTTCATCCATGCAGTGTGGTAAGCTCACAGGAAGTGGATGGATGGTTACTGCATGAGCCAATGGGCGCTCCTCCGTGTACCATGGGGTCACATCCAAAGTAATCCGTGAAACCTAAGATTATTGCACTTGGGAAATGTGTGTAGCACACCCAACCTGCTGACCACATTGCTTAGAGACTTCCTGCTTTTCTCCTACAGAGCCTCTGTAACTGCTCACGACTCACAGTCACTGGGCTGGCAAGAGGCAGTGGATAAATGCCCTGTGGTCAGGATTCAATTCCAATGCCAAGGTCCAATTTCCCATGAATGATACATGGTTGCACCATCATGAAGTCAGAAAATCATGACTGAGACTTCTGGTCCTGTGGGAGGGATTGTCCACATGAGCAGGCAAACTTCTCTTTTTTCCTAACGCTCATAGGTTCCAACTCGCTACCTGGATTCAACACACTTTAGCTTAGCCATGTGTCACCTAATAAAACTTTATCATCTTAACCAATTCAAGAGAAGAAAGCTCCCGCCAATTGTCCTGAGGGGTCAGTGGGAGATCTTCAGGCTGCCCTTGTTCTGATTTGCTCCGGCCTCCTCCTGTACCCCACAAGGTCTCTACTGGCTGAGCTGAGAGTTTGGTCTGAAGGTCTCAACTACTGAAGAATGCAAGGATTTTTACTGAGGATCATTTCCCTGGGGTCAAAGAAGACAATTCCTTCTTTCAGAAGTTATAGACCATGGTATAATTTATATTATTGTACGTCAAACCAAAAATGTGATCAAAATACTTTTTTCTGTTTAATGCCAAACTTCTCTCCACAAGAAATTCATATGCAGGAAATAAATTTCACCAGGTAAAGCTGCTCCATTTTTTATCTATACAAGTGTATTTTAAAAATACCGATAAAATTTCAATCAGTTAATCAACAGAAACCTTCAGTTTCTGTGTAAGAATCTCCTTGTAATTCAGTATTCAAAGCTGTTTCCCACCACACTCCATTTTCATAAGGCAAAAAATATTAAAATTTCTTCCTGTTTAGAGATAAATATTAGAAATTATACAGTAAATTCAGAATTCGCAACTGAAAGTTTATGCTTGCAAAATTGCTTTCAAAAGTTTTGTCATTTATGTATTTGTCAGTTTGCTGGAGTTTTATGAATGAATAAGTAAGTTTCTTCATAGATTTTTTTTTTACCAGAATGTTTTGGCTACATAGTTCCTCAAAATAGCAAAAAAAAAAAAAGCAGAACTTATCTGCAATACTATGGCAACGATCCTTTTGTTCTATTAATGGTTTTTCTTTGTGATAAAATCTCTCAGTCATTTCTTGGCAGTCAGGTTAAAGAAAGTATACATTTCTTATTTTGTAAAATTTTAGTTCCAGAATTCACGCAATCAAAACAGTACTCATTACATAGTTAAGGGTTTTAAAAACTCTTTTCTGAAATAATCAAATGCCTAGCAGTGCCACAAGGCCTCTTTTAGTCCAAAACACGGTGAATTGTTAAGCTTTGAAACCACGTCCCGTGGCACTTCCTTTTGATTGTCACAATCCTCAGAATATGTTCACTCCCTGCCTTAAAAGTCTCAGTTCTTGCTATGTATTGCTTCTTTCTGTGGCTCCTTCTCTGGTTCTGGAGCTCTTTCTGTACTAACATTCTCGTTTCCATCATTTCTTTGCAGATTCTGCATTTTGTATTGTTTGCAAAGCTGCTAAGCCCCTTGAATTGTAGCTCCACTTTTCTGCAGCTAAGAAACTACCAGGACCAGTGAGGTTCAATGTCCTATGTAGAGTCCAAAGGGTTTGCTAAATTAAATGAAGAGAAAGTAGCCTGTGAATGAAGACTTACACCTAAGTGTGTCACATGGCATCAGTTCCTTCGAGAACATGCACTTTCAAGTACAGACCTGTCACCTGCAAACCACGCTGTTTTGTGGGAATTCACCTTCTTGATATGCAGCATGAACTTGTTTGCTTAACTTGGGGGGTCACACAGGGAGAAATGCAACTGTGCAGTGGGGGACCAGAGCTGAGTTCCAACAAATCAGAACCTTCGGTGACAGGGACCATAGAAACCAGTGCCACTAGGCATAAGATAGTATCAAAATAAACACCCAGAACACTGCAAATATTCCACAGTCACAGAAATTTAGAAGCATGGCCATCATCTTTGTGGCTCACTGACTGCTGAAGTCAACACCATCTTGGAGGAAAGAGCAGAAACTAAGCCATCCCAGGGACCTCTCACAGGCTAAACATGGAAACAGACTTTTCTGCTGAAGGGCAGGCTGGGTAAGCTGGCTGGTGCCACAGTTCAGACACCTGCCATGCCTCTACTGATAGAATAATAGTTAGGCAATTGTTCGCATTATTTTAAATTGAGTTGGCAAACTGGTATTGGAATTTTATAAATGAAAGTTTGATTTTAGGATATATAATTTATAAATAAAGCCTCAAGACAAGTTTATACATTATGAATGTTGTTAGGAGTTGTTAGATGATGATGATAGATAGATAGATAGATAGATAGATAGATAGATAGATAGATAATGTACCACAAAGGGAAATTTGAGAACGAGTTGATAAAGTTGCTCAGTGTCACTTTTAATTGTCACAAAATGAACTATGCTCTGATTCATCCCACCTAGCTGTGTGATCCAGGAGTCTGCTCCTAGGCCAAGTTCCTAGACCTCCGGCTCAACACACTAACACATCTACCTCGTCTGGTGGAGTCAGATGAAAGGCAATCAATCACTTACGCAGAATTTTGTGCAGAGCCTGGTGTTTGAATCATTGACCCCAGAACATTAACAATGATTTTCTTATTATTTTTAGCTGAGCACTCACTCTGTGTAGCCCTTTGTAATAGCGTACAGATAACTTTCAGATAAGAGAGAGGCATTGTGTGAGCTACACAGCTCTTTCTAAATTTCAATTCTTTTTGTTTCAATATTTTCTCACAGGACAGCATCAAAAAGGCCAAAGAAGTTTTAGGGGTCTCCAGATCTGGCAGGATTGATCCTGTCCTCTGTCAGCTTTTTCCATGCCTGACCATTCTAGTCATAGAAAATATTGGGCAGCACTGACTGCAATTTTAGAAGACAGCTATTTTGAGTCTTCAGAACCTCTCTAAAGGCATTGAAAGTGCCATTTTAGAAAGGAAAAGGAAGGGAGCAGGGAGGAAAATGCAAGTTAGCTGTCCTGGTAGCATCTCTTAGCTCATTGAAAAGGAAGGTTCATGCTAACGTCGACTAGAGAACATTTTATGCCCATATTATGTTCTCTGAGTAATTATTTGAAGATGACCAAATGCAGGGTATTCACTCTTGTTATTCTTCTATCGTTGTGTTATGGGTTCTGTTTTATCTTTGTTCCATAAAATTAAAAAAAAAAAGAGTCATTTCAGTGCATTCCTGAATGAATTGCTAGTAGTTTAGTTAACACAAAAACAATTTGCTATTTCCAGAACCCTTCAGGGATCACAAAATGACCATGAATAAATTATCAGTGGGCTTTGCAGAGCTGGAAATTGTCCCTGAGCAGTCTGCTGCCACGACATTCTTTCCAAAAGCTCACAAAGAAGCCCAGGGTCACAGCGCCAGCCCCTGCAGCCAGATGGGAAGTAATGGAAAGGACAAAGAGGGTCCTGTGGCATGGCCCAGAAGGGACAGAGACAGCGGCAGTGGACAGGGAGACAGCAAAGCCATGGGCTGGTGCTGAAAGAGCCCTCAACAGCTTTCCCCTCTGCAACCCTGGGCGACACCATTCTTTGAAAGGTCCACTAAGCGTCAAGTACATTTGCATTCTACCTGAGGAGTTTGTGTTGCAAGACACTTAGCAAAAAGTACGTCCAGGAAAAGGCAGTGAATGAATTATCTGCTATATACTTCAAAACAAGTATATGGGTATATGTTAAATATGTTTGCAAATGAAACCAGGAATTCACAAGGATATATTTTAAAATCCAATGGCTTTGTAGTTCCGCTATGGTTTGGCTAAGTGCCCTACAGAGGTCACGTGTTAAAACAGGGGACTGGTCCAGGTTGCTGCTTGTTAGAATCTGGGGGCTATAGCAAGAGGTGAGCATTAGTTCATAAAAAAAGAACAGTTATTACTCATATGGATTGATCAATTTTGCCTGTATGTATCTGCTAATCTAAGCAACTCTTTTGAAGATCGCAATATGAATGCAACAAGCATTGTTAAATTCCCATCTTCTTGTTTTAAAAGTCCATATTGTTTGGGGTTTGTTACAGCTGTTGTTTGTCCCTTTTATGCTTTGTTTTTCTTCTCTGTGTTTTTTTTCTTTCCTCTTTAAAATAAAAGTTAAAAGAGAAAGTGATTTCCCTAATATTAGAGAAAAAAGAAGTGACGGTGAAGCAGTGCACCAGAGGGAGCTTTCCCTGTATTTACAGTCGTTCCTCATGGCTCACATCACTGCCTGAGCTCCTTCTTGTGTCAGATCAGTGGATCTGATTCTACAGCAGAACTGAGCCTGTGGGAACTGTGCATAAGAGGCATTGCAGGTCCACACTTCTAGAGAGAATCTAATGCAATAAAAACGATCTGCGTGGTGTAGTGAGAAGAAAAAGTGCATAATAAATACAATCTGTTTGTCATCCTGAAACAGCCTCCAACTCTGCCTATAGAAAAACTGCCTCCCGCAAAGCTGTGCCCTGCTGCTAAACAGTTTGTGGTCCACTAGGTTAGAGGTTAGGTCACTGTCCCGGGGGCTACTGAGAGGCAGTGAAACTTGAAGGAGGCTGGGCTTGCCCGAGGTCGCCCAGTCACTGAGAGCTGTTCTCAAAGGGGACAAAGGGTCCTGGTGTCCTCTCCTCCTGTTTTCCATGCCCAGGCATGAGTGAGTGCTTGACACTGCCCCATGTCT